GGTTCCCAGATGTATGTGAGTGGAGCTAGGCGGAGCGAGACATGCATCTGGCTGTTGTCAGGCTAACATTTTAATGCTTACTAAAAAAAACACACACACACAAACAAAAGGCCATTAAGGTCTAGTGAAAACTTGATTGATAAAGCTGCTGACATCTGCTCTTGAAAAGGACTTGTCTTGTATCTATAATGGCTAATTAAAGCAGATTTTTAGTTATCTTTTACCATTTTTTTATTTTACTAGGGTTACAAATAAAAAAAAGTATATACTCAAATCTGTTCAGTCCTTAATTAACAGTAAGGCTTTGATTTACCTGTTATCATAAAGCACAGAAAGACAAGGAGCATAAGGAGTGATCATGGCTGAAGTCACAAACATGAGATAAATTCCTCAGATCCTTCCACACTAGATTATTTTTAGACTTGCAATAGGTGAAAGTACATGGACACAGCAGCAGAGATCATTGTTGTTCCACATAATAAAACCTAAACAACATGTGTTTAGATTTATCAGCTGAAAGATCACAAATGTGACTCGGCAGTCTTTCCAAGCTCTTTGTTCTAATTGGTCCTGACCGCTAGACAAGTGACAACCAGGCCAGCAGGTGTATTTTTAGCTGCTCTTCTCCACTAACCAACAGAGCAGGGAGTGACACAGCAGCAAGGCTGGGGTTTAAACATGCCTTGTGGTCTCTCCTGACTACATCTGATTACATTATGTATAACAGCACATCCTGAGTTCAAAGAGCAGAGAAACAGAGCAGCAGGAGTCTAGGAAGGACTAATGGAAAAGACTGTGAGCTCTGTCACCAAGACATTAGTGTTTCTAAGGGACGATTAAATACCAACTCACCTTCTGTAGACTGGTCGGATTCAGCTGGGTTTTGTCTATAATCTTCACCGCTACCTAAAGAGAGAAACAGCGGAAGGGAAAAAAGTTACTCATATGATTAAAACAAAAGGTTTTATTTCTGCAAAAGAAAATTCTGATCCATTATGGTATGAAATGGCTCTTTATTTTGTGTGAGCAAACAGCTGGTATGCAGGACATGCAGTTCAAGTCAGTGCTGTTGCACCTGACGGTCCAAGGATTGACTGCTGGCAGCAGGCTGATCCATCCACCTCAATAATCACCCCAAAGTGCAGAGCTAAACAGACACGCTCTCCTCACTTTCTCCGAGCTCAGCAGCTTTTACAAAACCACGAGCTGAGCGATACTGCGGAGTCACCAGTGAGCCCGTACAATATGCTGATAACAGATTGACGGAGCACTTTCAACAATCTGATGTGATTACACCAAAATGCTTAGGAAAAACATACAAGCTCATGTTTCTGAACAACAACAAAAAACTTGAGGAGTTTGTTGCACAAAGAGCAAAGGGTATCAACATTGTTACGATTGGGAGCTGTTTTATGGTCTAATGACAGATAATTAAGCCAAAATCCACATATCCACATCTTAGGAATAAGGATGCATTGGACATCTGAAACTCAACATAATGAAGCTGTAGAAAAAGGACAAGGTTTTAAACTAATATTTCTGTCTTTTTATATCTAAAAGGGAACTTTTCAAACATATTTTTAAACAATGTTAAAATACAACAGATGTGATTGGTCTTCATGGACCAGAGTCCTTCATCTATTCTCTTCTATCCATGCTGCAGTACTCTGGGTTCAATCAGAAGAATGACCTCCTAAGCTTACTATAAAGTTCTCCAGGAGGCCGCTAATGACCCATTTATCTAAATCAGTGTAATGTCAAGCAGGGGAAGATCTAACACACAGCATTATAGGTTCTGAAATTGAACTGCACAGCTTCATTAAGAGAAAAAACAGAGAAAATATACTTGGGTATATCTTTACAGTGGGAACATTTTTTCCAAACATCTATAATCATAACTTCTAATAAAGTTTTTGCCCTTCTTTCTGCCTTCATATATAGCTGACTGACTCCTTTGAGTGAAAGGCGAGAGAGGGATGCTTCTCAATGCTCCATAAAAATCAGAGAATATCAATATAATGCCATACTAAAGCAACTGAAAGCAAGACATTTAGAGAGTATATTCACTTGGAAGGTGAACAGGTAGCAGGTAGTGTGGGTGTTCTTCTGGAGCACTTCAGTTTACTGGCCATATCTACTCCAGGGTTAGAGAGAGTTTATCATTTCAATTCAATCTTAGCAAAAATTTATCTAAAACATACATCATCTTCATTTTGTTCCTTTGTAACGTGAGGAAAGTTTTCTTATACATATAGGAGAAAGAAAATTTGAAGTGTTGTAAGCTCATATGTAGACATGCTGCTTTTGGAAATACCATGACAGCTTTAATGACAACTTCTGCACTTCTGTGAGCTCAGTAGGCATGTTTCAGTGGATACAGAGTGTACCTCATTCAGAACAAAAAGTGGGAAACTAGAAAAATGCTGAGTGATGGACAAAAATAACACAAGTTATTCATTCAAAATAGGGTTTCCCCAAAGCCAAAAGTACCAAGATTCATTTTCATCCATGCCTAAAGCTACACCCTGTAATGATACTCATGTAAAGCCTGTAAAATGAACGCAGTCCTGCAGAGGCAGGAAGACAGCCAAGACTAGAGAAAGAGCAAAAAGTGTGCAGGTGGTGTCTATTTGTAGCCTATATTAGGTGGGCGGGTACTCTCACAGACTTTCTACTTCCTGCAAACATTAGTATGTTAAGAGTTAAAGTGTTGTCCTATACGAGTGTTGACATTATCCTCTCAATTTCATTCTTTTATTCTCACCTTTGTAGGAGAAGCTGTCACTACAATACAATGACGTAATAAATGATTTTAATCATATTTGACAATGACTGCATGGATGCACAAAAGTTTGCATTAACTGTGCAGCATGCCTCTGATCACTCTAATGGGTTTGAGGGTGAATAATTCAACTCCACAGCGACAGACGGCCAATGTGCATCTCTGTTAATTATGCAGGGCATTTGTAACTCAGCAGCCATATGCTCCGTGCCGTACTCCGGCCTCGTCATCGCGCACGCATCTAAAACACGTGCAGATTCAAGCAGATGATGTGGAGGGCCGAGCGCCTCAAATGTTGCACTACGTTTTTATTTCCCCCTTAGCTCTTTCTGCACCAGCGCTGCTACTTGATATAGGACATAGTTACACAATAAAAAGATCAGCATCACTGCTGCTAAAAAGAGACAGCGGTGTTTGAAATCAATATTACCGTTATGACACAGCAAATGTACAAGAAGCCACATAATGTTTCTTAGTCTCAGCTGTAGATCAAAGCAGATTATAAATAATGCATGCATGCTTCCCCTGCAAATATAATATTGATTTCAGCTTTTCATATTGATGTGCACTCCTGGAATTCTCCGGTGCTAGTTTTACGCTCTTGTTTGCAGGGATCCGCTCGCTTAAGTTGTTCCTTTTACTGTACATGAGATTATAAAGACAGAGAATTTAAGAACTGAGCTACAACCAATACCCTTAAATAACCTAGTTAATAGAAAAAAAATAATACTAAAACAAGGATAATCAGGGATGTCTATTTCTTCACTGATGCAGTAAATGCATAAAATCAACTAACTGAATACAATCAAACTGTTGATCAAAAAAAGTTTAACATTTAATAAGTCCAAAAAGGTTTCCAAGTGTGTTTGTTTGCAATAAACTGGACATGCAAAGCAGTTAAATACCCTGATTATCATGCAAAATGTAAGAAGACATATAATTTTCTTTTACTGTGTGGGAAATAAATTTGCATGCTGTGCTTAACTATTCAAATGACATAACAGCAACTGTTGAATCGCCTGAGCTAATGTTATTTAGCTGCTTGTTGACATTTTTCTTCTTAGGCAAAGAGTCGAAGCAAAATATAAGGAAATAACTCTTCAAAGTATGTGCAGTCAGGTGTAGGAGGAAAAAACTGTACAAGTCTAACTATACAAACAAGTCGAGTGTTCAAACAGAGTAACACCTGGCCTCAACAAGAAAGGTTGAAGTTTAAAAATGACAAGAATTACAAAAGAAAAATAAATGTTAATCAATCAAAATCAACACAACTTGTCCGAAGCTGCTACTGCTCCCAATCAGTTGGGTCTAATTTTGGAGCTGGAGAGCTTTCGATCCATTGGCAGAACTGCTAATAGATCTTTCTACAGTTAGAAAACAGAGATAGAGGCAGCTAACGATGGTTACCATTAGCATAAAGCTAATACCCCTTTAACTTGAATAATCTGGATAACCAGTGTTTTCATACTATAAGTCTTCCAGAAACACCTGGCAGTGAAAAGAATTAGAGAACCCCCAAATCCACAAATAAACTGTATAAATAGATTTCTTCTAGTCTTGTCTACATGTCTTTTTTTTGATAATTTAAAACACACATGCCAAAATCCAGCTTTTACGTCTTAAACCGTCTGTTTAGTGCCTTCCTCAGGTTACATCTGGCTTCTGCTAATCACGTGGCCAGGAATGGGATGAGTAACTCAGGAGAACTGATGTCAGAAGCGCTGCCCAAGGCAGCTGCTCTCTGCTGATTTGCTCCTTCCACACATGGTGCTTCACTTAGGGAGTGACAATAAAAAAAGCGATTTTCTTCTGATGAAAATAATTCATGAATTAATGTTTTTTTTTTTTATATAAAAAATAGTGAATACATTAAAATGTGACGCAAACTCTGCATCAGCTGTCTGGTCTTCTGTAATGATTTGGCATTAGGGTTGTGTCAGTCAGTCTGATGACTTGAAAGCTATGGAAAAAAAAATAATTTGAAGAGAAAAAATATTTTAAAAATGTATATATATATATATATATATATATATATATATATATATATATATATATATATATATATATATATACACACACATGTACTGTGAACAGTATTTATGGGGAGTGTTGGTCTAGTGGTTAGAGCAATGCGCTTGTGGTCTGAGAGGGTTGCTAGTACCTGGTGCCAGGCGCCGCACAATGGCAGCCCACTGCTCCCCACCCAAGGGGATGGGTTAAAATGCAGAAAGTGAATTTTCCCATTGTGGGACAAGAAGGCATTTACACACATATATATATATATATATATATATATATATATATATATATTAGGGCGTCAAATAATGATCTTTTTGCAAATCGATTAATCTGTCGATTATTTTCTCAATTAATTGACTGATAATCGGATTGCCAAAGGTTCCCTGTAGGGGATTTTTTACGAAATTAAACCAAACGAATCTAAACCTTTTTCTACTTGTAGAGTTTTGAATAGGTCTTATTAACAGATAAAGATTTTTTTTTTTATCTTAAATGCCAAATGTTTTTTTGTTTTGTTTACAATTTTGGTTAAATTACAGCTCTTAGTGGGTTTCTCTGTCAGCTGTAGGCAGTTTTTAGAGTCCCTACACTCCAGTTAAGGATTAATCGATTGCTACATTAGTTGACGATTACAATAATTGTTTAATCTCAATCAGATTAATTGTTTCAGCACTAGGGTTGTCAAAAGTATTGATAGTCAAAAAAGTATCAATACTGAAAAGTTATATCCGGATACAATACTCATTTTCAAAAGTATCGACACAGTGCTACCACCAGCGTCATTCATTTTATGCGCAGATTAGAGGAAAATGCACTTTCTGAACACTGTGTGATGGAATAATTCTGTGCACTTTTCGGTTTCAGACTTTTTTCTGTAACAGGTGCAGCTGCTGAGAATTATTTTTGTTTTATAACTGGTTTGGCTAGTGTCATTGTTTTGTGTGTAAAGCATAGCCAAGAAAGGAACACTTAATTTTAAGTTTTTTATTAAGCTTGCTTAATATTGTGCACAGCCTACAACCTCAAAACATTGTTTATTGTATTTATTTATTTAATGAAAAAATTTCTGTTGAATTTTGGAGTCGTTGTTTTTATCCTTGTGGTA